GTCACTCTCTTGACTAAAGAACTGGATGCATTTTACCTCATGCTTTTCATCAAGGTGCAGAGCAACATATTGATGCTGCTAACAATTTGAAAATGAGTGGCCTTTTTTCCCCTTCTTATTACAAATGCCATGAGAGAAATTGGTTAGAAATAGAGAAAACGGACAGCTTATAGGAATGTGTTTATACATGCAAACTCGGGAATTCACAGGGACAGGAATTTCCCTGTAGTACATACCTTGCACATGTCTGACAGCCAGTTTTCTTCTCCATTATCTATGAATCCGTGTACGATAAATCTGGTTACCCGACTTGTGTTAAAATTTGAGTATTCAATTGTTGAGGTATCAACTGCAGAGACCTCCTGTTGCAGATATAAATTAATAAATATTCAAATCTGCTATCTGTAAAAAGTGTATCAATATTACAAACACCTGAACTATGCTTATCTCTACAGGCATTTAAAAGTTATGCACGTAAGCTCATCTGCAAGAGTTTACATGACTATGGCTTAAGGTCTGTACCTCCTTTCAAAGCAAGCTTTGACACATATCTTAGAGCAGCCAACACTACTTTTGGTGTTTTTTCATCTTATCTGTGGAAAAACCCCCTACCCAATAACTTTAAAAATGCACAGTTTTCCAGTACTTTTCAATGACCATGAAGAAAACATGGGGGACTGCTGCTTTGTGAGGGCTGGATGAGAATTCTGCCCCAGAGACCCTGCCAAGGAACTGGAAGAGGCTGTCTCTTGAAGGATGTGGAGATTCGGCCATTTCTAACACTTTCCAGGGACACAGCTGAAGTCTTCATTTATTTACTCTTTTTGCCTGTGATTTACTTATGTTTAAATTGCAGTAGTTCTTACTTGAAAGTCATCAGGATTTTCTCTTGTGTACAGGAGGAAGTGAATATCTATCTTCTTTGGATCCCAGGGTAACTTATGGATTGGTCTTTCTGTAGTCCCAGACCATGGTATATCATCTGAGAAACATCCGAGCCTATCAAAGCAAACTTCTGCACCTGTAGCAGATGGGATCAACAATATGTGTATGAGCAAAGGCTAGTCATAACTCAAAGCATCTCTTCTCCGGAGGTCTCTTGGTCTCTTGAAATATCCTATGGTTTACACAAAGCAAAGACTGGCAGTTTCCCCCTCTCAGATCTTCAAAGGCTATGGTTTGCTCCAAGGAAAGAAGCCCCCCCTATTGCTCATCAACAAAGAATTCAGTGGAGTTGCTCCATGGGTGTCCTGTATCATACCTTGGGTATCTTTTCCACGCTGTGTTTTGCCTTAAGCAAAGACAGCTGATGCGTTTCTCCTAATACCAGGCCAAGATATATATATATAAATATAAAGCTGTACTGTCATTAGGCTGCCTCTCCCCACATACCCTGCTTTTTTCCCATTTCCATCACTAAATAAAATACAACAAATAATTTCCTAGGTTTGGTAGAGCAACAGCTTTGGTCTGAGATAGAAAACACCAGCGCTTCTTGCATGCTCCTAGGGTGGGACTTCCAGAGTGGAAAAGAGGAAAGCCAACATGCACACGCACACTCGTCTCGCCATTCTTGCATAGAGAAAGTGAACCACGTAACCTCAATCAGTAAGTTTTAAGGCACCATAGTGTAGAATAATATCTTGCAAAATCTAGCAGCATAAATATTGACCCCATGTGCTTACCTTCTGCTGCGCTGAGCAGAAATAGTGCAAGTATCCAAATTCCAAGCATCTAGAACAGCAGAAAAAGAAGCAGCTAGGATTTGCTCACCCATTTCAGTAGCAAATGTGCTGAGTTTTCTCAAGGGTGCTGTGTCTGTCTTCTCTGTAACATATATCTATGACCGCCGAGTATGTGAGGCATGTATGAGTCAACTTTGTTTGCTTGCTCCACTAGAGATTGTGGGGCTCCTAAATCTATATATCCTATAAATCCTATAATCCAGAGTGATTTTTGTCCTGTTGAGGCTATGCTTCCAATTGGATGTATAGTAACTATTTTAGAACTAGCATAAGGATGCCTATGAGAGCTGCTGTTCCCCTTCATACTGCTGTGTCTTGGGAAGCCATGTACCTGATGAAGTAAAAGAAAAACCCCAAAGTCTGAGCTACTTACAATGCAGCCTTGAAGCTCCACGCACTAACTTGCAAACTTTGCATGAGCTTTTATAGTTTGCTTTATCCTTGGAAATGTTCCCAGAAAGATAGGAACACTTATTTCAGATTATAGTTTGTAGCTAAGCTGGGAAAAGAACTTTAGTGGTTGGTTTCTCTGCAAGCTCCAAAATTTATTGATGTAGACTTCTTGAATCGGTGTTCTGGAGCCCAAAATAGGATTGGAGCTCCAGAGGTGGGGTAATTCTCTGGCAGCAACACATCAGGAGTGTGACATGAAAGAGAATTTTGTGGATCTGTGTGGCAGTGCATTTAGGGACTTGTCTTGGCTGGGAAAGCTTTTAATTTGTCTTCTGTAGTTGGGATGTAAGGGGTCTGCTGGAGGAGTTAGCAGAGAATGACATTGCCTTTAAGTTCCCTCCCTTGCCCTGCGTCAAGTGACTTTGGATGTGGAAGGCTCCTGTGCTTTTGGGTCTTTTGTGCCCGTTTCCTGACATCAGCTCAATTTGATGAAACCTTATCCCTTCAGGAGAACTTCTTAGTGGGCCTGGTAGGTCTTTTCACAGTGAAAGAGTCTGACCTTCTCCTGGTGTCCCTTTCATTTTCTTGTTGAAATAAGTAAATGTAGAAGGACAGTTGTCTACCCTTTTGGGTCCTTTTTATGCTACCCATGTAACCCAAGTTTTGAGAAAGCCCTTCTCCTCTGAGTGATGAACTGAGAGCAAGCATGTTGGAAACATATATCAAAAAATACAAAATCCACCAGAAACAGTGACATGGCTACTTTGTGTAGCAATGTTACAGAGCTCAATAAGTTGGTCTAGCAAAGACATCAAGGTGGAAAAACAGCCTGTGCAAATGAACAGGACAAGGTCTGGAAACCCCTTGGTCCTGTTCATCTCTAGGAGAAGGCTGTAAGCAGACTCGAGAAGAAATGAGACCTCAGCTAAGCCTTCACCTAGAAAACTCTCTCAGCTTGGCTGTGCTTTTTGGCTGTGGCCACATCTCTTTGCAGATCTGACCTTCCCTAATCTCCGCCTCTGGGAATGACCAAATGGATACCAGCTGTGTGTATAGGTATTACACTGCTGTCATCCATGTTACTGGGGTTTCTTTCTTTCAAAGTAATGAAGTTAATTTTTCTAGAATGTCACCTTTGATACCAATTTAGAGCTCAGTGCTCCTGTCCCTAACTGAAGTAGCATTTTAGTTTGTAAATACGTTCATATCAGTGATACAGGAAAATCAGTACATGCCCTAATACCCTGATAAATTTTAACACCTGCTAAAAATGAGGGGGGAACAGTCTTTCTCGTTTAATTTCAGAGCTGGTGGAAAAGATTTGAGTTAGGATTTTATCATAGTTAGTCTGCGGCTCAACACAGTAATAACAGAGGGCAAACTGGATAACTAGGCAGTTCCTTAGGCTGTGGTCAGATGGGTTCCAGCTGCTTGCTCCTCCTTTGCAAAGAAGGAGTAGGGCTGGGGTGCATGTCCTTCAGCGTGATGCAGGATGCTCACTGTTCCTGAAGGAGCTGTTCTCATCCTTGTCGTGTCACAGTCAGGGGTTGTAGGAAGAAAGATGGCTTTTAGGAAAGAAAGCAAAAAAACTAAGGGCCTCACTGTGTTTCTGCCGTCCTGAGTAAGCTGTAGTCTGGAATAGGAAGCAGGCAGAGGAGAGGACTGGGTTTCCTGTGCCGCAGGATGCTGCAGCTCTCTCCTGGGATGCAGCGTTGTGCTTCCCAGCATTGTTCATGCTTCCCTGTTACCTGTCAGATCCCTGGTGGACTTGCAGTACTTGCAACTGTATATCTCTCTTGGCTGAACTTCAGAATTGTGTTTAATTATGCATCTAATTTCATACAGGCTTGGTTAGTGTTTAGTCAAGGATGCAACACTGACTATTGTTCTTTCCTTAAAAAAAATTTTTACTCAAATATTTATACTTATTATATGTTCTTAATATTGTATATCTACTCCTATTTCTTAGAAGTTTATCTACACAAGTGCTTGCACATAATTTATCAAATGTGGAGAAACGGGAGTGAATAAATTATTAACTCCTTCTTCCTATTCATTAATTTAGAGTTTGTTTTTTATGCTTAGAAAAGTAGCCACTGCCTTGGTCTCTTGAAGCTTCAGGTGGCTCACTCGTGCCACATTTTCAGAGCAATTATGTTTACTTTAATGTGAAATAGTCAATTCCAGGTTTTGCAAAGCCTGGAGTTATTCAAAGTCAGAGTTTCTCTCCAGGATTGTCAGTGGCCACAGCAAAACTATGTGTTTGAAATGAAACAGTAGCTGGGTGCTGTGATTTAGCTGTTTCATTTCTTCCAAAGTGGGGAAGACTTGGGGTTTGGCTTTGCCTGTTTCTTCCCTGAAGGTGCAGTGTACAAAGGGCTGTGTTGACCTGCTGAAGAAATACCTTGGTCTTGTTCTGTTCCTGCCTCATCCCACAGCATCTTCTGAGCGTGGTGGTCTTGTGTGGAGTTAGAAAGTTCTGAGAAATTGTGTAGGGAGTGGAAAGGAGATGTTTGGGACTATTGCCAGCCCCGGGAGTGTGCTGAGGTAACCTGCTGCCTTGAGAGTGTTTGACAGACAGAAAACCTGGCAAATTATCAATGTGGTGGGAAATAGTTCTTACCTGCTTTTCTTGAGGCACTAGTAAAGTGAGACTGTGCAGTGTTATAAATGGATTTTAGCATATATGATTTCTGGTGGCTTCTATAGTTATGACTTCAATAAACTTGGTTCAAACATGTAAAACATTGACAAGGGTGTTTGCAGAGAACGGAAAAAATAACGGAAGCAACAGGCAGTTTGAGTTTAGCTTTAATAGCCTTGTGTACCAATATTGCCGTGCACAGGACTGATGGTTTGCTCAGCTGCTGTATACGAACCAGTGGCACTCGGTGACCTCTAGCAAGGTGTAAGTAACTGAGGAACTCCATATGTCACAGTTCCATGACCACAAAAAGTTGAGCTGTGGGGGAGGAAAAACAAATTTGAATCAAGATTTATTCCCCCCCACCCCCAAGGAAAATAAAAGGTTGTTAGCTGTCACCTTGAGGGTTGCAAATTTGATCCATAATCCCACTTAAGCCTTTCTAAAAGCTTGCTGTACGGAATATTAGGGTCTGAATATTAACAGTAACAAGGTGAATTTGCTTCTTTCAGGGACCCATTGTAAAAATAGAGTTAATATACATGGATAAAATAAATCTCTAGATTCACAGATATAGAGCTCTAGATAAGAAGTCAGAAGGGCTTGTTAAGCTCCCTTTATTTAGGCTAGGTACTTTACTAGATTGCCCCAGTCAAAGCTTTCCAGCTTTTTTTTTTTTTTTTAGGAGCTCACACTGAAAGGGATTTCATCAGCTTCTATAAATAATCCATGCCAACGCCAAACTATAAGGAAATTATTTTACTAATATCTAACCCAATAGAATCATAGAATTGTTTAGGTTGGAAGGGACCTTTAAGATTATATAGTCCAACTATCAACCTAACTCTGATAAGAACCAAGGCTAAAACATGTCACTAAGCACTATGCCAACCCCTCTTTTAAATATGATGGTGCCTCAACCCCTTCCCTGGGCAGCCCATTCCAATGCTTAATAACCCTTTCAGTGTAACAGTTTTTCCTAATATCCAATCTGAACCTCCCCTCGCACAACTTGAGGCCATTTCCTCTTGTCCTATTGCCTGTGAGTTGGGAGAAGAGACCGACCCCCACCTCTCTACACCCTCCTATCAGGGAGTTGTAGAAAGCGATAAGGTCTCCCCTCAGAGACCTTGTATTTCCTCTGCTGCAAAATACATCAATTAAACCTTGACCTAAACCCGGTAGATACGTGGAATAGTTGACTATGATCCTTCGCAGGCAGCTTACGCACATGTTTTTATGCTTATCTCCAGGCTCTTCTTTATTGAGAAACACATTTCCTTCAGCTGCGCTACACGGATCCTGTTTTCTAAACCACTTTTGTTGTTTTGTTATTTCTCTGAACTTCAGGCCATGTGCATCATTCCTGAAGAATACTCTCCAAAGTTGAAAATTACCCTGCTTCTGGTTATAGTCTCACCCCAGTTATTTCAATTAGCATAATTACTCCCTGAGTCTTCTATACAATACTCTTGGTAATGCACCTGGGAAAGAGACTTGCTTTATCTTGGTTTATAATTGTTTTGCTGTGGCAAAACAGTTTGCACTCCAAATTATTTACTGCTATATTCCTTTCCAGACAGTTGTACCCTGGTTTGTACTCAAACATCAGATTTTTCTGTCCACAGTGTAATATCTTGTCGTTGTCATTACTGCATTTCACATTGTTGATTGCAAACCATGTGCCCAATTGATCAAGACCATTTTTCACTTCTGGCTCCCTTTCCCTTTCCTTCTGACCTGTAAAGGGGATATACATACCTATGTCCATCTTCACCATAAGTTATATTGACTGTTTCTGCTCCCAGTCTTGCCCAGAGAAGAGTGAAAATGGCTTTATTCCAGAGAAATTCAATTGTTTTAGTATTTCTTGGATTAATTTCAACGTCAAGGAATTTTGTGTAAACTTCATCTTGAGAGAGGACTCCACTGTGAATAAAATGAAGACATCAATGCAGTTCAGAGGTTATTGAGCTAAATCACATTCTCCACAAGATTTGGATTTTCCCCTTTCATACAACAGAAAATTGCACTCTTGCTGTTTTTTTGCAACAGCGCAGGTCGCTGGACGAGCGCTCTGGGGTGTTTTGCTCTGAATGGGGAGAGGGTGAGAAACAAGACTGAAAACTTAAAATGCTGATGTGGCAGGAGACCACTGGAAGGCAAGGGTGAGGCTGGGACTGCCTCCAGCACCCAGGTGTGCTGGGTTTTGCAGGTGTCTCTGCAGGGAGAGCTTCAAATGAGGTTATTGGGGAGGGTTTTATAGATGAGCTGGGAACTTTTCAGGGCCTTTGGTCTACGGAGGAAGACCAAAGCCCCACTTTGCAAATTTGATGAGTTCAGGCATAGGATGGCCTTGCATGAGAACATACAGCAAGTCACGGGCAGAGCAGAGAGTCTTGTCAGCATGTGGGGTGACCATGTTGTGACACGTGTGACACCACGCTAGTTACTGTGGGAGCCGTGGTGCTAATGCCTGCAGGGAACGGGTGAGCGCTCTATGAATTATGTGCATTCCAGATGTGTAATTTTTTTTTTAAGAGCAACTCGGAGAAAGACAGCACTTCTCCTGTCAAACTGCATTCCTAATTTATCATAAAGTCACATAATTCATGGAATTGACTGTCCGTGGACACGTGGAAGTGACTTCCATGTCCTTTTTGCAACCATTCATCTGCCCTCATAGGCCTTATCAATGGGTAACTTTTTTTTCATATCTGATGTTAAGCAGAACATCTGCAACACAGAATAAGTGTTTGCACTGCTTAAATATGTGGGAAAAGTGTAGATTAAGGTTAGCAGCATTAAAAGTTATAGGAAATATTAATTTATCTCACCTGGCAACTTCATATTCTTTTCTGTTCCCCTCTTTGTCATGGAAAACCAGGTTTATGTCTCCACTCATTTTCTTTACACCAGACAGTTTGATAATTACTTTTTGCCTCCAAGCTGCGTAAAAAAAAGGAAAATGAAACTAGATTGTCATTGATATGAGAGATCTAAAAATGCCAGTAAATTTTTTTTTTTTTTTTTTTTTTCTTTTTTCCCTAACTGGAATTCATTAATGCTGGCATAGTGAGCAGAAGTGCATGGCTGTAAATCATGTCAAGGCAATCACTTTTCAAACATGAGCAACTGTTACAAACCTCCTCCACTTACTAGCAAAAGGTACATCTGCTGCTGTATTTAAAAAATACTTTTGGTTTACCATCTTCAGTCTGGCTGGGAATCTGTCAGCATAGTGTCCCATCATTGGGCATCCCTCCTTGGGGCATGGGAAACAGTGTCCCTAGGGAAAATAAGAGCACCAGTTAATTTAAAAGGAGTATTTTCTTTTCATCCTATCTCTGATGAAATGAAGGCTCAAGATGCTGTTATGATCTTGCAAATCTGGCAGTGCTCAGTGTTGTCATACTTTACCACCAAAACCTGACAGATAACAGCTCCTGCACCCATGCGTATTGAGCCCGCATGGAATGAGCAGGTTTAATACCTGTGTGCATGATGGTCTGAAACTCTCTAGTCCAAATATTTTTTCAGCTACAGTCTAGGATGAAATATAAGCCAATTTTGCCCTTCCACTGGGAGGGTAATTTCCCTGAATCCACTTTGCAATAGAACTTGGATGGGGGGCGGGGGGAGGAAGAACATGGTTCATAAGTGTGTTTATTTGTGGGACCTATCGTGAGTGCAGAGACCCGCTCGCTCGCCCCTGGGCTGATGATATACTTACTAACTTGAAGGCTTCGTACGTTTCACAGGGATATCCGAGGTATCCGGAGGGATAGAGGATACTTTCAAAATAAAACTCATGGCTGCGTGAGTGATGGCACCCCCCAATGACTGTAGTGTCTGTTGGAACAAAGTTTATGAGCATCCATGAAATAACCTCTTGCACAAGTGTTCCATTTGCCTTGCCATGGAAATAGCTGAGGCACAGGACAGAACAGCAGCCTGGTCTTGTAATAAATAGTCACCTGAATTTACACATTTTTAGGTGCAGTAGAAGTTACTGTTTTGCCTGTTTTATCCAGAGAACTGTATGCTAGTTATCCCAAGATTTCAAGTGAGATGCATTGATCTACTATGGTGTAATAGTCCCTTTTATGAAGGCAGCCCTGTGTATATATATATGTGTATGTATATATGAGATGTCACAGTGAGATGACCTTAATTGCAGTTTTAAAAGTCTTAATAGAGAAAAGAGAATCCACCAGCTTTCTGCCAACCTCCCCAAAGCCTGTGAGGAGAGAGAAATTTCAGGTGGAGAGGTGAGGCATGTGAAATCACCGAGTGCTTTTGCCTGATTCGTGCCTTGTAAGTGCTGGATGCTCTTTGCAGCATCTGCAGGAAACTGAAGGTGGTGGTGTCACGCCACAGGCTTGGTCATGACACTGGTCTGTCTCAGCCTAGAAAACCCCCTGCTGATGTTGTCAGGGTATTAGACTTGCAGAGTCCCTGTTCCCTGTCTTTTTGTGTTCTGCAGGTCCAATTTCAAATTTCAGAAGCAAAGCTTAAGCCTGTGTTTTACTTCCTGTCCCTACAGTGTTCTGATCCAACCTTTATTCTTTATTCTTATTTCCTTTCCTTGCTTATGAGTAAATAGGCAAAAAAACAATTTTGTTTTGTTCTTTTCTCCCAAACAAACAGTTATGTTTGGGAGAAAAAAAAAAATCACAGTTCACATTTCAGGATTGAACAAAAATAGAGTACTAGGCATATTGGGAATGTATGTTTACCTGCAATGACAGCTTCAAAATCACTTTGTTTCATCTCTTTAGTTAAATCGCTGCATCCAGGCATCACAGTTCCTCCGTTTGGGTAAAAGTCAAGGTGACCGCTGGTGTTACGGATTCCAAGCCCTGAGATACAGGTGTGATGATGTCAGTGTCTTGGTGACCTGCCCATCCCTGCAGCTATTTATTTGCATGTGAACACTTACCTACAGCAGGAAAGTGAGGGGCATTGCTGTGAATAACATCAACAAAGTTTGCATCTGAAGGATCCAGTCTCACCTCCGGAGGAGTCCCTTCAAAATAGGGCCCAGCAGGGTCTAAGCCTGAAAACCCCCACATTTATTGGTTGAGGGAGGAAGAGAGAGAAGTGTTGCATGTATTAATATCTCTTTTGCCAACTAACAATATCACATGTTTAGTACTACACAAGCATACTGAATAATAATCATGTGAATTCTAAGCTAAACTGAAAAAATTGTAATAACATGCTTTTGTGAACCTTCCTGCAAACTTATTCCAAAAGAAGAAAAATATTTTCTAAAGCACTATATAATGGCATCGTATTACTACGAAGGAGGCACTTCATTACCTGTGAGTTTATTACTGGCCTGTAAAGCTTTAGGAATAGAAAAAACTAAAGATTCTTGATATGTTGCTTTGTCTTTGTGTAGGGCTTGATCTAACCCAGTGAACAACAGTGATATTACAAGCATTAACTATGTCCTTCCACTAAAGCTAATCAGAGAAAGAAGATGTAATAATTATCCTTGTTTCAGAGAAGCATAAAGTTTGCCTGCTCTCACACAAGGTGACTCCAGCACTAACAATAATTTAATTCCAGTCTACAGACTGGAATTGCAGTGTGTTACAATTTCTTTCCTTTAGGAAAATGCTATGTTAGCTTTAAGTGCTATGTCCCTTGGTGAACAGCCTACCTGTTATCCGCCCGATGCCTTGCATCCTTCTTCCCGCCTCTCCTGCAGTATGTGCTCCCAGACTGTGGCCAATTAAATGAATTTTGCCAAGGAGGTATCTGAAGTTGTTCTGATTATTAAGGTGATGGTGGTGGGAGACAAGAACACAGGCTTTAAATAGCAATCAAAGAGGATGTCTTACATTGTGGGCCTTTGGGAACATCTAGACTGACTTCCTGCATAGCAAGCAGGGTGTAAGTTCCTTGAGTTGATTATTATTTAAATTACACTAAGAGTTGATAGCAAATGATCTAATCTAGAATTTTAGATGCCTAGTGATGATGGATTCTCTGTTGTAGTGTTGGCATGTGGTTATCATAGTCAGTTACTGTTGGTGACAAAATGCAAACCTTCTTTCTCATTTGGATCAACCCCTAATCTCATCTGCCATCAAAATGATCTTACTTTTTATTTATTTACTCAATTATGGAGCCCTTTTATCATATGTCTATTCTCCATATGTCTGCTTAGAATATGTGATGGTGTCACTCAATAATATTTTCACTGACAGGCTTAGGTGGGGTGACACTCATTCTCCTCTTTGCCAAGTGCCACCTGTACAAGACCTGCACTGCTGAGATGTTACACGTGTTTTGAAGGTGGGAATGGAGATTAACCAGTGTGTAGGTTTATGCAGGGGTCACCTTTCTTCCAGGGATTTGGTGGGTTTTTTAGTGTCCAAAGACAACAAGGATTGGTTGCTAATTGTGTGAGGTTTTTACACCAGGCTGTGTTTTGTCATGCGTGTATCAAAATAAAAAAAAATCGGTAGTATTGGCCTGTCTGCCTTTATTGTTAGACAGCAGGTTCCTCTGAATACATTTTACAGTAGTACTTCCATTTACAATGCAACTTAACTTTTCCTAAAATCAGACTCTAAAAGTTTGTAAATTAGGGAAAAGAAAAGAAAGCCTAAGAATCATTTCTGCATTACTATTTTTTTTTTGTGTTCTGTAATGGAAGAAAGAGGCCTAGACTACAAATGGTGCATTTCATTAAATGAAAATCTGAACCCATATTCCAATGACCTGGGATTTGTGCACAAAAAAGAAAGATGTGGAGGCAAACGTGAGGCTAGAGATGAGTTTCATAGGTAGAAGCTGTAGATTTTACCCCAGAAGATTCTGGGGGAGTGTTTGATACTCAGGTGCTTGCAAAGTTGACACTTTGCTTTGTGGGCTCTGAGCTACCTCTTGCAGCCCTGTAAGATGAACACCTCCTGACCAGGATTAAGTCCATGGCCAGGCAGGATTCTGATTTTCAGCAGTTTCAAGTACTCATGAGTCTTTCTGAAGTCAGTGGGAAAAATGCTGATACTTTTAAACTTTGCAAGGGAGCGGTTCTGTGCTATGTGTTTAAATGCGAACACTTGCCTTCAGGAACATGAAGTTCACAACCAGAAGGCAACTGGGCAGTTTATCTTGCCTGTAGACAGCAAATATGGCATTATCAAGTGAGCCAGCTCCTGCTTGTTTCAATGATGCTAAGCTGAGATACTAATTACTTACAGCACACATATAAACAAAAGCTGGCAAAACTTGCCATCGCTGAACTCTTAGGCCTTGCCTCATTTCCATTGAATGCCTTCTTGCCTGTATCATCATATGGAAATGTTGCCACCTACTGGTCTTTAATTAATTGGCACCTCTTTTCTACCGCATTAGCTTAATTTGCGTCTTTTGTGGCTGTCAGAAGTCCTTACAGAGTTGATAATTAGTGTAATTAGCTCTTTCTCAACATTGTTCAGCTCTTCCTGAAGCATTGGCTGACCATACTGGACAAGGTTCAAAATCAAAGCAGCAGCATCATAACCCCACTACATCCACTTAAGAATTGTAGGTGGTAAAGCTGTGGCTTTTACCTGTAAGATTTTTAGGAAATAAGCAATCTCAGCCCCAAGCACACGGATGTTGTTCACTGCACTGACGTAGGTGCCTTTTGCACCGTCTTTCCAATCGACAGCAATGCAGTTGATGTTTTCTACCTCCAGTAACAGCTGATGTGGGAACACATAAAGCACAGTGTTTAAGGAAATAAAGTAACAAGCAGAGATTCAACAAATCAGAATAAACGTGAAAGGGTAATATAACAATGGAATTTCTCATTCTTTACTAAATGGGACTCTTCACTGTAGCCTGTACCACATTGAAACACACATCTTACAAAACAGACTATAACAAGCCATTAATCCTAAAAGTAGAAATTCTGAAAGACTGTAATAAAAATAGTTTATAAGCCATTTTTATACCTATTTGAAATAATTTGGGAAAGCTCACAACTGCACAGTAGCTCTTATGTATAATATATATCTTTCTTTGAGGTATGTTGGTAGTTTAACTGAATACTATAGGAAGTAAATTTATTTACCAAGTGCCATTAAAAGTGAGAAAGGCCTGGCAGACTGGAAAGTTTTGGAGCAGAATTGAAAGTTTCTATTTCAGCAAAGAAAGATAATGCATTGGTCACTTGGTACTGGTCACTGTCTTGCAGAGATCAGTGATTCTTCTACTGGAAGAGTCATATAATCAAAGTCTGCAGCTGTAGCTGTCTGTGACTAAGGCTTAGTTACGGCTTGAGAAAG